CTGATTGTACTTGATGACCTCAAGGCTCTCAGGCTGGGCACACACCTTACAACCATCACAAGACTTTTGTCTTGCGATGGTTGTAAGGTACTTAAAAAAACGTACGATCTGCCCATCTTACATAGGCAGATCGTACTTGCGATGATCGCAAGCCATGCCCCCTGAGGGGCGGGCTTCCGATGACCGCAATGCCGAACGGGCAGTGTGCGCTACGATGCTCGGCGGGTTTTGAAACATGTTCGTAAGTTTAAAGTCGTGCGGCCTTACAGTAGTAGAGGTCGCACGGCTTCCACACACCTTACGATAATCGTACGATTTCACGCTATTATCGTAAGGTGTGTGGGGACCTTTAGACTGCCGGAGTGAAAGGGAGAAGAGGCTGCAGAACCAATCTAGCAGCCCAGGGGAAGTGGGGATGAGGTAAGTTTAACTGATTCTCCCCCCCCATGCTCCCTAAACATATAAGAGCAAGGAAACCCTTACAGTGAGGGGGGCAGCCCCAGTGCAAGAAAAATCTTTTTGTTTCCAAGGATTGTGCTTTAAGTTATTTTGTTATACTCCCTACTTGATAAGTGCCAGAGAGAACAGGAAGAGATGAGGGGTTAGGAAGTGGCATCTCCCTAATAAGGACAAAGCAATAAATGTTTTTTTGTGTTATAACCTCAGTCAGGTTTTGCTTGTGTCCACATTGACGAGATATCCTCCAGGTGATGATCAACCAAAAAGGGAAATCTCTCCCAATAGAAGACACAGACTACGAATACAATGAAGGATTTAGCTGGAGTTGAGCTTAATATAAGCACGTGCACAAACCAGTGCTCGAGTCTTGTATGATTTGTCTAGCATGGCACATCCAGTGGACACGGACGAGAAAAGAAAAAGCAAAACACAGTTTCTTTAGAGTATATTATATATTAAACAGTGTATACATTACAGTGCAAATCCAAGTGCTAGAGATGGTCTCGTACTTAGCTGTACCTCCCGGCCACACAGCAGAAGGCTTTGCATGAGCTGGGACATCAGTCAGCCTATCAGGTCACTGAGAAGTGGTGACATCACCGATGCATATGGCCGGGTCGCCCATAGTAAACAATTGTTTGCCAGGAAAAACATGACTGGTTGCTTTGGACAAGAGAAGCCATCTATGATGTCATCAGTTTCTAGTGAACCGAAAAGCTCGGGAATTCCTTCACAACACAAAATGGCCGCCTCCGGTGGATGTAGATAAAAACAAAAAAAAGACAAGCCATAAAGCCATTCTGTTCCTTTTTAGAACTACAATTCAGGCAGCATGAACATTAAGCTGTGAGGAGGGGGCTATACAGTATACTACTAAGTTTTGGATGGTGCAAGAAACAACTAAAACCCCTGTCTGCTGTTTTTGGCTATATGGCCTGGTAAGGGAGATTTATCTTCACTTCCTGTCCAGGTGAGGGGACATCCCCTCTTAGACAACTCTCAGGTGTCCCCATTAAAAGGTTGTACATATTTGCTATATTTTCTATCCTGACGGGTCACCAGAGAACAGAGAGAATGGATCTCCCCAGTGGCTCTACAAAAAGTACCCTTCAAGTAGGGCCTCCTTGCACTGCAAGAGTTAAAGGCTCATTAAGTCTAGGGGGTAGAGTAATAAGGTGTAATACTTGCCTTATTTCTTGCTCCAATAGCTTTATGGCACTCCAGGCTGTGGGCAGCCCTCCCTGTCTCTTGTACAATGCAAGCCTGCATTGTATGGCCCCTTTCACACGGGTGGTTCGATGGGGTCCACCTGTCAGCTTTTCAGGCAGACCCAATTGGATGCCCAATGCCAGTCTATGGGCAGCCAAGACTAAAGAGACAGGCATCCAGTTACCCACGACTCCGGCCAGGTCTGGAAAACCAAACGGAACAGAGTTCCGTTGTGCCGGATTAGGCGTAATCTGATGTTAACAGACACATGTCCATTTACAATCGACTGCCCATAGACCGGCATGGGGATCCGGCAGTTTCAGTGCTTTCCTCCATCGCTAGGCGGAAAGAAAAAAAACCTGTGTGTGGACCAGAGGCATCCCATCTGTACTGCTCCGATCAGGAGGGGATCCGTGTATGATCAGTACGTGTGAAAGGGGCTTGAATGATGACATCAGACAGAGCGCTGAAGAGAAGAAGCTTTGCAGGGGAGTCCCAGAGCATGGAGAAAGTCTGCTGGAGCAAGGAATATGATAATTATTACATCCTAGTCAGCTACCTCTTAATATACAGACTTTATCATTTAGACTTCATTAGCATATAACCCTTACAGTGCCAGGGGCCCTACTGCAAGAGTACTTTTTACTAAAATCCTGGAGTACAGCGTCACTACGCCATCAAAACCATTAAAAATAAAAAGCTTTAAAAACATTAGAATGACATGAGTCAGTGTTAAGCCAATGGTCTGTATTCAGGCCTGGTCCCATCATGGCACAAGTACTGTACGCCATATCATACTTAGTCTTTGGTCAGCTTCATTGGCCCATTAAGTGCCATAACACACAACTTGACATATAACAACCTAGAAAGGAACGCTCAAGGCACCGTGCCGAACTCCAGCCCTAAAATGGACCATTAACATTGTATGCTTTGCCCACTTCCACAGGCAGAGCATAGGTTCACTTTAAGGACCGCCATGAGATCATTAATAGCTATTACATTACAACACAAGCCTTGCCCAGCCAATGCCAAGGATGGTATTCAAAGGTTTTATTCAGCCAGCTGAACCTCCGCCGCTTGAATTACTGGCAGATATAGATAATGCAGGTTCTGGTCAGTTGCTTGTCCGCAATTAAATCGGCAACAGAACCCAAATAATTTAAGTCAGTAAATCAAGAGCAGATTTTGTAACCCAAATGAAGAAATAGTCACCAGCAGACCAAATAGTGATTTAGCAATAGTCCATTTAATGACACATTGCCATTCTATGCAAGCGCTTTGCACGGGTCTTTGGATGTTCCGGTAAGGAGTGCAGCAAGACCTCTGGCTCCTCAGATTTTGTAAACCAGCGCGGTTACAAGACCCCCAGTCATTTTGCCAAGTTGCTGTAGAAACAGGTGCAAGTGCCCCAACAAAGTCCACACACATATCTATACTGAAGGAAGAGGGGGTGGGGGGAGATGATCAGCTTTATTTATAATCTCATCATTGCATCCCCAGTTATATCTGTACAGATAAAACCTGTCCTGGCTATTTAACAACAGTCTCTATGGGTCAATAGTCATGGCTTCTTTACATACAGATGAGATCAAAGAAAATGGGGTGAGGCTACTCAGCCAATGGCACTATATCGAGATAGAGAGATTGCACCTGTTTTCAAAGACAACTTAGCGTAGGGAATCTGGAAGCTGAATAATAAAACCCAATAAGAATGATTATTAAAAAGGTCAGCGCTGCTTCAGTTTGGGATAGCGGTCGATAGACTGAGTCCCCCAAGAGCTTCCTTTATCTCTTAGGGATTCTGGCGAGGAGATTCTGGTACCTGTGTTCCCGACTCCGCCCACATCACAGAGAATACAACAGGGCTGCCGCAAAGCGTTATCTTTCCAGTGAGAGATAGAAAGTAGCTGGTGGGTGCTTCAATGCACCAACATTCACCCCCAAACGTAAAATATCTGTATTGGAGGGAACGCTGCAATGCTCTGCATCCAAACACACAACTGATACCTAACAAATGCTGAGCAAACATTTACATCAACATTTTCTTTTCCTTCCATAAACCAAACTCATTACAAGACAAAATGTGCATTTTTTTCCTTCAAAATCAGTATAGAGATATAGAAAAATGTATCGAATATATTACTGAAAAGACAAATAAAAATGTTCTTTGATACAATAGATCAGCTCAGCAGAAGTACACATAAAGCAGCAATAAAAGCATGAAAAAGCTTCGACAACAAATTAAAGTTTTCATTACCAGAGCAGTAAAAGATGGCTTTTTTTTATTTTTGCTAATGGAATTATTTAAAGCAGACCTGTCATCAAGAAAGCCTTTTCTGTTGTTGTAATCATCCTACAATAAGTCTTTATTTTCCTGTACAACTTCTTCCTGCGGGCCCTCCCCTTCAATCCCAGAGTCACTGAACTTCCAGTAGTGTGGGACCTCCACTAAGCTGTCTCACAAAGCCTGGTTTCATCTGATAGAGGCCGTTTCTGCTGTGTAGACAGTCAATTGTTTCTTAAGAGTATGGGAAGTGTTTTCCTTTATCTAAGGAAAGGTCAATTTAATTTTTTTTTTAAATGCAACCCCTCCCCTTCTTTATTCTAAGCTAGAAATCCCCCATGAAGACAGCAGCAGCCTTCATCTTTGTTTACAGCCTCTGCTCCGGCTATGGAATGTCCCTCGGCTTCCTCACATCTAATGCAAGTCAATGAACCTGCATAAGAGGCGATGACGTCAGCAGCTTTTTTTTGAGCCCCCTAGACAAAATGAGCACTTAGCCCTTGATGTGCAGGGGTAGCCCAACTGCAAGGGTATTTTTTTTATTTTCCTAGAGTTCTTCTTTAACTCTACCCACCATTGATAACAGTTCTGTGATTGGTAACCTATAAAAGGAAGATGTTACAGTGGAATAATAGGTAGGTCATTCAGCTAGTAAAAAAGGGTAAACCCCCTAGGGTGCATACACGGATCTTCTCTGCCATTGACAGTAACTCCCCATAGACTCCTACAGTACAAAAGCTAAGAGTATGGTCCACATAAAGCCTATGACGATTCATCTCACAGGCATGCAAGAGCACATGTTGGGCCTGAAGCTGACAACCAGGAGGAGGCTACCCAATGCTGAGCAGGAAGCTGGGGGTTCTAGGTTAGGTTTGGGTTTCATTTTACTAAAAGCAGGCAACATAAGAATAAAAGGTTAAGTGCTGACAGTGCACTGCTTTATAATAATAGAATGCCCTGTAGGGGATGACAGTACAGACTCCAAGTGCTTAGAATTATGGGAACGCTGAATGGAGGTGGGGTGCGGCTTGATTTGACTGAAAAGCCAAGATTATCATTCAATGACCTCCTGAGCTAGGGAGGGCCCCCCCTATATTGCACATCAATTCTGACAAGAAAATAAAATCTAGGTCCAGGCACTTTTGGGTGATCTGCTGTAAGATAATTGTTTAGGAATCAATTTGGCTTTCTTGATGACGGGTGCACCCCGAGCAGACTTTAAAACCGGGGAGGGTTGTTAACAAAAAAGACAAGGCGGATTGGGAGACATCTAATTGAAGTCTCTGTTGGGACAGATGACGGGAGCGATCAGTGTCCAGGTGTAGATCAATAGACACACCCAGCTAGAGGAGATCTTCACCCAAACAGCCGGCCACTTGCTTGTTATAGTCTTCAAATCTGCATCCGGGCTAGGGGGGAAAAAAATAAAAAGGCATTGACAAATGACACAGAGCATTTACTCCATTTTTATGTGCGTTATCAACACCCGGTGACGTGCTTATAATATACATTTTCATTTGCCGTCACTGTCAACAATATTCCCTTGAGGGCTAGTTCACACCAGCCTAATGCACATCAGTGCCTAGTGCACACCAGGCACTGATGTGCCACGCATTCCGGTGCAGCTGATCGCATTGCAGCTGGAGGGCGTGGGTGCGGTGCTATTGAGTTAAATGCACTGCAACGCTCCAAAACAAAGTGAGCCGGCTGGAATGCGAACCATGTGCGTTACGGCCAGAATCGGGCTGGAATGCACTGAGGCTGGTGTGAACTAGCCCTTAATACACATAATAAAACTCATCTCCATAACACAAGACAAAGGTGTACTGTAACCCAGCAGGGTAAAACTGCGCAAGGCTGACAACACTGTCTGGGACTTCAGTGCAGCAGGAAGAGAGAGTGTCAGCTCACTACAGGAAAATAGGAGCTCATTAGGGTTCTGACAAATCAACAGGTATTGTCTCTACACTTGCAGCATTTGTAAAGAGACAAAACATGGAGAAATGTTTATTTTGCCCAGGCGTACACTTTAACCCTCTGAGAAGAATGATGGATTACCAAATGTTGGAGGGCGCTGATGTAAAAATCTATTCACCTCCTAATAGGGTGACATTCGGGAGTCTGTTTAAACAGCCCCGATGCTACGTCGTCAGTCACGAAGGGGTTAATAATGCAGTAATGATAAGCACTAAAAACAGATTTGGTTCTTATAAACGGGAGTGGAATACATATAGTATAAAAAAAGTCAAATGCTGAGCCCGCCTCTCTAACTATAGGGCCATGTGATTGACTCCCGTTCCATAGTGAGCAGTCTGCATACTGAGAGCATCTCTTACCTGTACCAGTTGGTGAGGGTCATCATAATGTAGAGGGAAGCCAGACACAGCATGAAGTGGAAGAAGCAATAGCTGTACTGGACGCCATCCTTCTCATTATCCACCACACGACGCACCTCCCCCTCCTCGCCGTCCGAGCCGTTTCCTACGGTGTCATCCAGCATGGGTGTTTCACTGCCGGATAAGGTGAGCTTGTTCACTTGGCTGTTGGTCGAGTTTCGGATGCTGCAAGAAAAGTGCATAAAGTTTAATAAGACAAAACAAGAAGACTGCAAGTACAATGCCTCTTACATTAAAAATGACACACATTTTATAAAAAAAGTTCTCCATTAAAGCCCATATCCGGGCAAAGAAAAAAATATGCCCTTGCAGTGGGGCTACCCCCACATTGCAAGGGTTAAGTGCTAGTTTTTTTCTAGGGGGCTCAAATAAAGCTGTTTTACTTACCTGATTCCGGCTCCTGCGGCAGGTAGTACTCACCTCTCCCCCTCCGCTCCACATGTTAGGACTTTGCCTCACCATCCTCACACGGCTAATGCAGGTCAATGGACCTGCATAAGACACGATGATGTAATTGGTCCTTCGTCTGCTGGAGCCAAAGGCAGAAGAGGCTGCAGGTACTGGTCCAGCAGCCCGGGAAGAAGAAGGGACCAGGTAAGTAAAGCAATTTTATAACTATCCCCTAGACATAAACGAGCACTTGACCCGCGCACTGTGGGGTTAGTCCCGCTGCAAGTGTTTTTTATTTTGCCTGGAGATTGGCTTTAACCCTTTCGCTGCCAAGCCCTCCGGAACATTTTTCAAATCAGCTGGCCAAGCAATTTTTGAATTTTCTGCAATTTTTTCCTATTGATTTGATTTTCAACTGCTGCGTTGCTAGCGTTTGTAAAAGACCCCCCAAACCATATATTTTCTGAAAGCGCAGGCCCGGTAGAATAAAAAGATGGCGATTCTAAATTTGTAGGCCCTGCGATAATTGCGCAAATGTTTCTCAAATTAATATTAAACCGAAAAAAATACACAATTCAATTGTTAAAACACACTAAAATCAGTATCCGTGCACAAAAAAAA